ATTAGACAAAACTTTGAAAATTATGAAAATCTTAACCCCACTTAAGGCACAGTCAGCGGAGAAGGGGGAGGGGGTCCATAACCACTCCAAAAAAAAGGTCCGATTCAAATAGCCAAAATTAGAAATTAAATAAATAAATTAATAAAAAATATATATTGACTTCTTCAATATAGTCATGTATTAAATGCAATCGATAAACACTAATAGAATTAAACTCAAGGTATTTACCAGTCTTGAGTATCACGGCAGAACCGGGCGATTTCTTTTATTATTTTTTTTTTCATGTATCTTTGAGACGCCTTTAACAACGACAGACAACACAGAAAACCCGAAGATCCAGAAGTACTGTAACAGTAACAGTTAATTTGATCACACCAATCACTTTTATGACTGTAAACCTATAAAAATTACATAAAAGTATACAAATGAACTAAATCAACGGAGTTTGGAGGACAAACCTCGCCTATATTTTATTTGATTCAATTATTCAATTTTTGATCTGTAACGTAATTGTATATTTACCAATTTTCTTAGTATAAAATCTTTAATTGTTAATTAAGTGTTGTTCATACAAATTATGAACAATATCCAGAAAATAAGTAGATGCATTTCATTGAAACCCAGTAGGAGTCAAGGTAAATACTTGACACCAGGTGAGAGAGGAGTTCAGGTATGTCTTCGTTGAATACACACGGGCCAGTCATGTTGGGGAAGGGGGGGGGTCTTGACCTGACAAGAAGACCGTGTACTGATTAGGCAGGTACATATAGGTGTCAGTTCTCTTGTCACGGGGCGCTTCCACCTGTCATTTAGTTACGGTATATTTTAGTTCATTTTCCAAGCCGAAATAGGTAAGTTGTATAATAAAAATTAGTCTGGTTTTGTTTATCTATTTATTCATTTTGTTTTTGTTTTTTTTAATCTCTAAGTGCAGTAATTAAATATGAATGGCAAACATCTATATTATAACATATAATTATCAGATGATGAATTGAATGGAGCATGTTCATGGCTAATGAATTGTCATTAAACTTGTAGATAAACATAGAAACAAATAAATAAAAAAAATAATAAAACGGAACAACAGAACGTGCGCGCATAGACAAAATTTATGTATCCGTTATTGATAAAAAAGGATAAATCTAATAAAGATGCTGCTATTTTCTTTTTTATTCATTTTTTTTTTTTTTTTTTTTTTTTTGCACATATACCTAATGTTTTATGTTTCTATAATTATCAAAACAAAGTTAATAAAGATCTTGCTTTTGTGACTCTGACTGTATAAAGGGATTTATTTATAATATTTTTATCTTTGACAAAAATATTTCTTACATGTCGACAAATTAAAAAAAAAATATAACGAATGATTAATAGATCGATTATTTCATGTCCAAAAATAGAATTTGACATTCGATTTACGCTCTCTACTTGGTCACGGTACTTGGCGTTTATTTATTTATTTATTTTCTTAAACAAATATACCAGAGTTAGAGTATTAATTTCTCTTTCTGTTCAACAGTTAAATTGATCCTAAATAAATTAACAAAACGAAAAATGAACTCGAGATATCTCGGGTGTTTCTTTTCAAGGTAAAGATAAAAAGCGAGGGTTTCCGAATGCACACGATACACGCAAAACACGATACACGATAGAACCTGATAAACGATCTTCACGATAAACGCAAAACCTGATAAACGGAAAACACGATAGAAAACGCAAAACCTGATAAACGGAAAACACGATACGATAGGATACACGCACGATACGATAGGATACACGCACGATACGATAGGATAAACGCACGATAGGACACGATAGAATTGTAAAGAATAACGATGCGGGTACTGTATATAAAAATTATAGACTCGAATTTTTGGCCTTTAATACCGATAAATCGGAAGAATACTGTCTTTTGTTTTATATATTTTAAACATCATTGGTACTTGAAGATTACTAATTTGTTTTTATTTTTTCTCAATTAAGCTTCTATTTTTATTACTTTTTCTATGCACTAATTCAAGGATATTACATTAATTTTTATCAAAACAGACAGTCTTTTACAGATTATATACCTGTCTATTACCTGTGTATATATAAAGTATATGTATTAGCCGTGCTTAACTCTTTTATTTTGAACAAGTTGAGACCTGCAGTGTTAAAATTGTTACAAAATTTTTTACACCTTTACTTTAATAACTGATTGTGTAAAAATACCAGCTTAGCACATTTCTTCATTTCATTACTTTGCTTGATATGTATCAGCAGTGTGCTCAACTCTTTGCTGTTGTCATATTTTCAATGAACATCCATAATTTCTTTTATTAAATTTGTTTGGAAGGGTAAAATTTATGTAAGCTCCGGTGATTCGAACTCAAGACTTGATTTATAGCTAACTGGTGGTCAAACCCATTCTGCGCTACGCCGTTACGCAACAATTAAAAAAAAAAGCAAAACAAAACAAACACCAAAAAAAAAAACCCCAGAATTATATTCACATTCATTGTTTATTTAAAAAATACCTTACAATATGAATGTGTCGATGTATCTATTTTGTAAATGTCCGATATGCACATGGATGCATTCATAACAATGTCAACCCGTGCATGCACGGGTCAGAGTCTAGTGTATAATATATAAATTATTTATACCCATTTAACAATCAATTTAGCGTCGAAAATTTTTGTGCTTACAAATTCAGATCAAATTTTTGGTGAAAAGTCAATGGTATGTTTTGAATGTGAAAATTTTGTTCGAGACTTCTCACCTTGGATTCATCTCGCATGTGCTCCCAAAGCGCTTTACAGTATATTGAGCGTGCGCGCGCATTCCAAACAAAAAAAATGGTCTTAAAACACATGCAAGCTCTCAAGGGTGCTGGGAAATAAAAATCGTTTATGTTAATATATAATTAAAAGAAAACAACATATAAAAATGTTCATTAGTCTTTATCTAAGTACAACACATTATAATTTTTCAGAAAAAGTTGGTTAGTCTTTGCTTCAAAACTTCCTGTTCAGAATGAAGAGCCATCTATGTACGAGCCATAAAGACCTGAATACATCATGATTTTCTCAGGCAATAACCATTATGGCCGAACCTGGAACTAGAACTAGACTCATGTTCATGTCATAAAGATTAGATAATTATAATTTTCGTGCAGCTGGTTTCCTAGAGGACCAAAAATAAAGAATATTTCTTTTCTGATTAATACAGGCATGTAGTATCATTATCAGAAAAAAGGAGAATTGTCCAAACCCGAAAATCCTATTCCGTTGGAGAAGGAGTAGGGGTGGGCTACAACTTACTTTCACATTTCGAATTTCATTAATTCATTACCAAATTACCGTACTTTTAATATGCTACAATAAAATGATGGGTACAATCTAATCAAAATTAGACTATCCATTTTGCTTTTAGTAAATCTGTTCGTCGCTCGAGATAAATACCTGGTTTATATTACGAAGAGTGAGTTGAAAGTTCCAATTTAAATTTGATTGCGAAGAGTCAATCAACCTTTCAATGTACATTGTCCATTGTAAAAGTTTATGTTTGAAAAATGGTGACACCCCTAGCTCCTCCGATACTATATATGTGCCTGTATGAATCAGCAAAACCACTCAAAGTGCACTGTTACCATGCATAACCATTGTGAGCTTAATGTTTAGAAAGGTATAAATGTATTTTCATTAAAAATATCACCAAGTCCTATCCTGGGGTCTTAACGTTGGGTTCTGGACCGTAAATTTTAATTATTGGTAGATGGGTTATTGTTAATCATAATCATACAAACTCTACCTGTTAAATATCAATGGTCAGAAAGAAAGATTTTTCAAATATGTACTAATTTAGGATTGGACAATACACTCGAACATATTAAAGCCCGGCTTTCAGTACTTTCAGTACTTTGATTTTCTATTGTCTTCGCAGAGAAATCCACTTTTAAAATCAAGCATGATCGCTTCACAGTTTAAAAATGTTTAAATAAAAGTCTCTGCCAAGAAGATGAAAATGAGGGCTTATGTGGAGACTTACAAAATTACAAAAATCACTGAAGAACCCAAAATGAAGATCTAAAGGGGTTTGTTATCTGGAAAGAGTCATCTTTCACACAGTATGATGTTCAGTTGGATTAGAAAATTCAAAAGTGGAAAGGGGGACTTGAAAATCGCAATTGAACTGGTTGATCAAGATCTGTAGGGACATTAAAAAATATCAATGCTGTGAGCAACATGATATCTGAAAATGCCAGAGTTACTGTGAGAGACGTTGCTAATACACTAAATTTTTCAACGTCACAACAGCTGATCGAATTCTGATGAAGGAACTGAATTTTAAAAAAATTTTCTGTCAAATGAGTGCATTATTTCCTTGAAGAACCTGCTTGATGGGTTCTGAACATGGGCACACTGTTTCTAGTCCAAATGGAAGGGCCAACAATAGAATATGGAAACAGAGAGGAAGCTATTTTTGCAAAGAGAAGCCATATATGGCTCTAAATTCGCTCTTGAGTACATCTTGACCTATGATTTTAACAAGAGGAATATAAAATAAATTATTTAAAAAATTGAAATAAGAAATGTTTTATATTGAAAAGTATATTGCAAATATATAAAAAAGATAAAATAAGCAGATTTTTTCATCAACTTACTTTTTTTTTCTTGAAATGAATTTGATAATTCCACTAGAATTACGCATGTGTAGGGGGACATTTTCAACCATGTCAAAATAAAAGTCAAATATACGGCGATAATACCTTGTACACAGAATATCTTCATTCACTACTGTTTAGGAAGGATAAAATTAACATACAAAAGTATTTTAATGCACATTATGTCTAAAATAAAAGAAAAATAGGAATTTATTTCTTCACATATTTTGAACGTAACATCTGTCAGACTCAATACACCGGGTACATTGTTATAAAATGGGCCATTGTTTATGCAAACTATTTTATCTTTCTTGTCTACTGATAGAAAATTTACCTGTTTATCAATTAAGTGATGGCAGATTCAACAGAAAAGCATGTGTGCTTAGAAATTAACAAATCTGTGGGATGCTTCCTGTGTCTGTCATGGTAAGTGGGCATTATGTTCTATTTTAAGAATGGAGCTCGGAGATGCTTCTTCTTATACATTTGACTTAAAGGTTATGAATATTTAAATTTTCTCCAGTGTTCTATGCAAATGTGTTTACATTTCGATAAGAAGAGCTACAGAGAGAGCCCGAGAAGCCACGAACGTTTGTCTGTCAAGTGTTACGTTACACAAAGTATGTTACGTTCATGAAAATATAAGTTGTCTTTATCCTAGATTTTAAACACATATCATCAAATATTGTCAGCTGGTAGGTGTATTTTGGATTTTTTTTTAAATATGAACTTGCACGCTCTTCATCACTACATAAACACTTAAAATTTGACATTTCTTACATAACGCACCGATTGACAGACATTGCCTGAATACTATCGTAACGGTGACGGACAAAACAAATGTCTGTTCATGTTACGTGAAAAAACGGGTGCATTCAGATTTATACGTTCAGTGAATTAAACCAAAAAGTATTTTTATTTAAGAATATTAGTGTATCATAAGGCAAAATTTGTCTTTATAACTTAAACAATACAATTTTGTAGTTGTTTTCTTGCAGTTTTAAAAACGAGTCTGTCAGGGTTACGTGCATCCGTACATGTTACAATATAGGTTTGATCTATATGAAATAATTTTTTTTTAAATTTCATTAGTATTTTCATAAATAATAATGTCTTGTGTATTATAATTTCCAAGAATAAAAGATAAGCTTTGAACGATAAATTTTATTGGCTCATTTCAAACAAGTATTGCTCAAGAAATATCGTAACATGACAGACATGGTGGGAATTTTGTATGTTACAAAGCGTATAGCAGAGGTTTATTTTTTAAAAATTCAAATTTAAAATCTATAAGGAATCAAAATTTGAATAATGTCCATTTCTTAAGGCAACATTATCTTTTTGATAAAATAATGAAAGTTTATGGTTTATTTGGCTGGCTAAGTAAAGGAGTCTGTCAGTGTTATGATCATCAGTTTGTGCATCAAAAGTAGCTTAAAAATCTTTTTTCTTCTTAAGAGTGAAAATTTTTTATGCATTGTTTAAGGAATTGTTTAATTTTATTTTTTTACAGTTTATTTGTATTGCTAAGCATCAGAAATGTAATTTAATCATGTCAAGTTTTATCATACGTCTGTCATGTTACGTTATATGTCTGTCATGTGTTACGTGACACATATTTCATACATTAATGAAATATTTATTTTTGACTTGATTATCTATTCAAACATTTTTTTGTCCTATTTAGAGTCAAAACTTCAAATACACATAAAGAAATCTAAGAAAAAAACGTGTCTACAGAATTCTTTATTTGTCCTCCCAGATGTACTCAAGAGCGAATTTAGACCCATATACAAATGTATGGCTCCAAACAGGTCTTATACAGGTTTTCCTTTTACTTGAGAGACCCAGTAATACATATACCTACACCCTGGGGAGATGAAGGACCATCAATAGCAGCTTTTATGTTAAAATTGTATTGAGGAAAGATATTAAGCAGGTTTTCTGTAAGAGAAGTTCAAATACCAGTACCTATGGTGATTTTCTTGTAGGTGACAATGCTGCTTTAAATAGGAATAGAGATGTAAAGGAAATTATGAAGAATACTAACTAAAGGAACATTTACAGCGCTTGGCTATCCTCCATATTTGCTAGATCTCTGTCTTTATGACATTTTTTAATTCAAAAACTCACGAAAGGAAGACGCAACAGTGGTGAGTGCTATCCATCATTGTCTCTTGAGTTACCTCAAAAAAAGAGTTCTGTAGATTCCTTATTTTACTCAAGTACTTTATATCACGAAATGGCCCTTAGATGTCAAATCACGAGTCAGAACAATTTATGTAAATGATCATTCAGAACACTATGCTACAATTATGAGTCCTAAGCTGGAGTACACATATGTTAAGGACCCCTCTATACACTTATGAAAAATGTTTTTTGGACTTTGAGAAAATTATTTAGCATAAAGGAGGATGTTTTGAAATTAACTAACTCATTTTTAATATAGGGAGCGTGCCTTTTTTATTCAGGAAATATCTTCAAAGACAATGAAGTAATAGAAAAGAAAAATTGCCTTCACTTACTCAAATGGATAAAATACACGCAAATAAAGTTTTTAAATACTCTGTCTTGTCTAATATAATGTTTAGAATACTTGGATTTATTTCAAATTATGTGATTTAGTTCAGATTACAATTTATTCTTCTTGTATGTCAAATGGTAGGTTAGTCTAATTACACAAAAGTACCCTGAAAATAGGGTGCACTGTAGAGAGGGTCCTTAAAAACAAATGAAGGAAAAGCTGAGGTATACAAGTGAAATTCCTTTTATATGCACTTAGAGTATAAACATCTGTCAACTGTCTTTCACCAAAATTGCAAGTATTCATGTCCAACGCAAATAAAGCAACTACAAATTCAGCAGGGAACTATGCAACCCCTGGACAACAAATAATTATGTTTAAGGGGAAGAAGGACCTTTCGCTGAAAAAATACCTGTCATTCAATTTTTTTTATATTTTGTATATTTCTTATTAAGTATGTCCCACATATCTTAAAGCAGTTATATCATTAGGTTTCTAACCTTATTTTAGAGATATTGATTGACAAATATTATGCCCTACAGTATCTAAGTGGAGTTTTAATTCTCCATGTTTCCGGGCTCATTACTCTGTCCATAATTGGATTTTTAAAGTATATATAAAAAAATATGTAAGTGAACATGTATCTTTTAAAATATTTCAGAGTATGAATTGGGTTTAAAATTCGAAAAGCCAAGTTTCATCTATCACACTGCATCTGGATAGGGAAAATTACGAACTTTTTAAGACAACTTAAACAACTAAAAACGTAATTTACAAAAAATCCTATCATTCAATATTTTTAAATTTACGTTGAAATGCAAGTCCTTCAAATTATTTATTAACTGTAAAAATTTCGAATGGTGAAGCTGACCTCGATATTGCACAGGACATCGTTAAAGACGACATAAGCAGGACAAAAACTTGTCATGTTTACATTTCTCGAGTACGGGAAAAACCAACTATGACGTCACATGTAAGCTAAATAAGTGAAATAAGATATACCTACATAAGATTTCCGTCATCAGCCATGCAAAAATAATTTTTGTGTTCCCCGTTTCTCAAAATACCTCATCATATACTGATTATGACCTGTTTTTACATAATAATACCGCCCTTGTATTCACCGAGTATGATCTTGCTGTACTAGCAGATCGTGTATGACGTCACCGACTTGTTGGACGCGCAGTTTAAAGAAACAGAGGAGTGGATCAATCTTTTTTCATAATTTGTTAATGTTTACAAGAATGTTAAACTTTTTATTTTTTTAATATAAGATGGTAATTAAAGTTCAAAAATTGTCAAAAATTTATACAAGAACTGATGCTTTACACGTTTTGCACTTATATAAACGGAGACTATGACGTAGTTAAACAGTCATGTGACCATGTGTCCTTCATCCCCTTAAAACTAAAGGATCAGAGCCAAGATAGCTAGGATACATATTTTCACTGTTTTGGCTTAATTGTAATTAATAAAATACACGTCTGACCAGCTTACTTATACTTTTTGAGAAATAAAAAACAGTCCAATATATTGCAATATTTATCACAGTATATGCCATTAAATATTATACAAATACAGCCTTTTGATGAGGTCAATCCCTAGATATGTAGACTTTAGAGAAAGCATATCAACTGAGCATGAAGTGTGAGGTCTAGATGCTTTTTCTAAGGTCTATATATATCTAGGGATTGTACCGATCCAAAAGGCATATATTTGTTTTATTATTTTTTATATCAATTACTAGTAATAAGAAATATGTTGAATATCCATGCTTCTCATATAAGGCATTAATTTTTATATATGTAATATGCATTATGATGTCACAGTTACAAGTAGCAGCTGAAGTACATGTATCTGTTTTTAGAAACACCCTGTTTATAAAGACTATAATTGTGAAGTCATCGCTATATTGTTGCTTCACAGAAGAAGGTTTCCAAATTATATTTTAAAAACACCAGGTCTATAAATTTTTTTAGAAATTTTAATAGAAACATCCAGTTTATAAGATGTTTTATACATGTACTTCATATGATCTAATTTGAGTACAATTTTCTGGCATTATCCACCCCAACTTTTGAGCCCAGACAATCTTGAACAATTCAATTTAATCTGTTCAGTACTGAAAATGGGTTGAACAACCACAAACAAAGAAGATTGCCTGTTATGATGATGCCAGATTATAAATTTCAGTTTGTGTATTCATGGCAATGTGTACTTTTTTAATGCTGACAAAAACTTTTAAATATAATAAACACAATCATTAATTAGCACTCTTAGTGTTTGTTTATCACGTACATTAAGAAGTGAATACAAAAGTACACTAATCATGTATTAGTTTATTAAAAAATAACATGTCAGACGCTAACATATAAATTCTGCTATTCAAAATATAAGAACACATGGAGTACTTATTAGAAGTATGCACATATATAACATATACTACTATTTCTGAAAGATGCATCATACACATATTATACATCCTGCCCCAGTTCAAAACAGAAACACTTTACAGTTACTTTAACTCCACCCTGCCATTCAGGAAGTCAAGAGCTTCTTAGAAATCTTCTTCCTAAATTTTTATAACACAGACCACTTCATGACGGTCTGCTGCAAATGACAATTAAGCCACCATGCAGTTCCCCCACACTTCCTTCTCTTGATCGTGACCTCTCGTTGACACGTTTACAGTGTCTGATACCCCAAAACAAATGACTCACTGAAAACAAGGTTTAAAGGGATTCATCATATCCCATTATCATGATCATAAATTTAGTGCAGGTTAAATTTTGTTTTAAATATTGTCACACTGCATGACTTGAAGAGCTAAACCTACTGCATTAGGTACTTTTTCTTGCACTTAATCTTTGACACTTTACACACTTGTAAAATACTGCATGCAGGCACTTGGCGAAAATATATACTTTGTTTTTAACAAATACCTCAGACTTATCAAAGACACCCAATAATTCATAAAATCCCCTAAACTTACCAAATAATTTGTTAGGAAACCAGGTCAATTATTTATAACAGTGATAATATTAAGTTTAGGTTAAATAATATCAGCTCATGTATTCCCTGCAATGTAAACCTCAATCTCCAAAAATAAAATAAGAACCAGATAAATCTTTACCTGTATTTTCTTGGAAAGTTAAAATGGAAGGTACCTGAAGTCTACAAGTATACATATCAGTACAGGATAATTTAAACATTTATTTAAGTCAGAGCAATTTATTTTTAAATGTGAAATTTCCTGCGATAAGATATTGCATAACAAATGAAATGATAGAAATAGTGTAATTAGTCCATTGTTACCGATATTCTAAACTAGAACTCAAGGAAAAGTTTTTTTATTCACAATTTTATCCATATGAAGTGAATGGGATTGGGCAGCAGGCATAGCCTATTTTATCCCTCTCCCTCTCCTCAAGGAAAAGTTTAATTCTATTTAGATGATAATGCTGCAATTTCAGATTGCACCTAGTAATGAGAGACTTCTGTGTTTTCAGACTAAGGAAAGGACAAAATATTTTGAAATGAAAACAAACTTGGAAAAATATGTATGATACCCACTGCGAATTTTATAGCATGTAAAGTTTGCTTCAAATATGTCAATCAAAAAATTGAGAATTAAGGCACATAGTACAGGCATGTTCATCCTACACATTCCCAACCCGCCGACCCCAAACTCCCTACCCCATATCTGGTCATGTCATAAAAACAAACAGACAACACAAAACTGAAGTAAGTGGCTAAAATACTTGTATCCTTTTTATGCATGGTTGCTCCGTTAAGGTTATTAAATAAATATTTTGTGTGCACTGGACCCCTAAGTCTTTATGCATATAAGTATATTGTTGATATATATTTTGCTTCTTGGGCTTTTAATTTTTATTGATGTCATTTATTTCCTTATGTAAACATGCAGTTAACATCAAATCTCTCACTAGGATCTTACTTATCAGTTACAGATATCCATGCATGCAGATACTGAAGTGAATACAAAAGTCAAATATTGAGATACATTTTATCCACTTATCTAACATTTGTACTGGTTGACATAAAAAGTTCTGGGTAATTGATTTACATTTTTTCTCAACCCTTGTATTTCCTTTTTGAATCATACACTTTTAAGATAAGTAAACTTGTTTTCTCTTATTCATGATGATTATGGTTAAGTTTACACTTCAAGAAAAGCTTAAGAAGTTATCCCTCTTAATTGCTGGCCCAATTTAATATTTCTGGATTTCCACACACTAGCTACATGTAGTTTCCGAAATTTGACTTATAATGGACATTAGCAAAACTTAAAAGAGTGTTCCATAGTAAGATTTCATTCCCCAGAGGCTGCATGGCTACAAATAAACTGGTTTAAGTAATCTAATGTTAATTTACCTTTTAAAATACTGAATTTGTAGCACGTCATAGTTTTATTCTTTTCTGAAGCACATCAATCAGTTTTATTTTTTTCAATACTTGGAAAACTAGCCTGGTGCTTGTATACATGCTAGTCTACAAATAGAGCAGCTGCCAAAATTCTGAAAAAATTCTTTAATTCAGCTTTTTAATATATTTTATTATATACAATGCTATTCAATCAAGGTATACTGGAATGAAATCATTGAAATGAACAGTTGAGGAAAATGGACAAAAATTAAGAAAATACTCTTTTAGTTTAAGTCACAGTGAAATTAAAATTGGATCACTATCATAAACCTGATGAATAAATAACCTACCAGTTATTTGTAATGAATGAACCCCTTTAAATCAGACCTATTAATAAGAAATAAAATATCAACCAGAAGTAAACTTTACCCTTTTTTCCCCAAAGGTATTTTATTACGAGGTTGTTTTTGATAGAAACCAAACCTTGTTGGTCTGGTATATTTCACATCAGAATCATATTTCATTTGCGGTACTTATTACACCTTTATCACATTGCCGTCCCCTTACAGACACAATAGGGAATACCCAATACTTGTCAAAGTGAGAATATTTTATATAACATCTTTCATTTCATAGGCAGGTACATTCATAAAGCTATGCAGGATTTGAAACTAGTACATAACCACAATCACTTCAGACTTGAGCTTTTACATATATTTAAATGTAAATTGTGCATGTTATGATTTTAATGACCATAATTATTTATTATTTTCTTGAAAAGAGAGGGTTTGTGCATGCATGCATACACCATTATCAAATGGCCTTCCAAGCCGATTTAAATTTACAATGAGGTATAATTCAAACACACCAGAAAAAAAATCACATTTTATATGCTTATAATCGCATTCATTGTGACCTCTATTCTTTGATATTAGGAACTATCCATTTATAAACATTTAATTAAAAAATGGCATAACGTAATATAAATTCTGTGGAAGTATCATTAAATTTTATTCAGTGGTATGGGAGGAGTTGTGAATAAGAGATGAGTACCCCCCCCCCCCCTTCCCATGTACCAATATTTTGGTTTGGGTGAATAAACAGAACTTGATTATAGAAAAAAAGGCAGTGTCCATGTTTTGCTAAAAATCTGTCTTATCAAAAAGTGAAATATGAGGTGCACAATGACATTATGTAATGAAGATTCTGTGAAAGTCTCATTAATAAAATTTTATTCAGTGGTATAGGAAGAGTTGCAGAGAAGAGAAGGGTACCCAAAAGCCTACTAGAAGGACAGAAAGACAGACAGAAGAGAAGGGTACACAAAAGCCTACTAGACAGACAGAAAGACAGACAGAAGAGAAAGGTACACAAAAGCCTACTAGACAGACAGAAGGACAGACAGAAGAGAAAGGTACACAAAAGCCTACTAGACAGACAGAAGAACAGACAGAAGAGAAAGGTACACAAAAGCCTACTAGACAGACAGAAGAACAGACAGAAGAGAAAGGTACACAAAAGCCTACTAAACAGACAGAAGAACAGACAGAAAAGAAGGGTACACAAAAGCCTACTAGACAGAAAGAAGGACAGACAGAAGAGAAAGGTACACAAAAGCCTACTAGACAGACAGAAGGACAGACAGAAGAGAAAGGTACACAAAAGCCTACTACACAGACAGAAGGATATACAGAAGAGAAGGGTACCCAAAAGCCTACTAGACAGTCAGAAGGACAGACAGAAGAGAAAGGTACACAAAAGCCTACTAGACAGACAGAAGAACAGACAGAAGAGAAGGGTACACAAAAGCCTACTAGACAGACAGAAGGACAGACAGAAGAGAAGGGTACACAAAAGCCTACTAGACAGACAGAAGGATAGACAGAAGAGAAGGGTACACAAAAGCATACTAGACAGACAGAAGGACAGCTATACAGATGGATGGACACCCCCCGAACTATACACCCCCACTTTAAAAGCAGCAGCTATAAAAACTAAAGATAAAATAATCATATTTTCTGCAATTGTTTTCAAAAATGTCCTAAATATACAACTCTTTGGATACTGATACATGTATCAGTTTATCTAAGAATGAAATCTAAGTTCATTTTAATGGTACAGAAGTTAGCACTAATACCAGGTCAGAGAAAAACATATATACAGCCATAATGGCCTCTCATACAAAAAAAAGATTTTCACAGAGAAATGTAACCTCATTTAAAACACAGAATAAAATGCCTCTATTTACATTCCAATTTGCTCAATGAATACTGGTACATATATATACCTAAGCAGTCATGCGGAGTATATTGATGTCCATTAGTTTTTAAAATAATTTTTACCTATATTATACTCATCAGGGAAATCACCATTAAATTTTCACTTAAAATACCATAAATTTTCTACCCTTCTACCCAACAGCCCTTGTTTTAAAATCAGTGTAAATTGAAACATAATGGATCCATTTGTTTATAATATATTTTATATATATATATATATATTTTATTCTGAGTAGGACTGCACAGTAATTATATATAATACAGATGAATGAATCATTTTTAATACCAGTCCTATAGATGAATGAATCAAAGAAATTTCCATTAACCGTAAAACAGTATGAAATGTGTATTTTCCATGTATGGTTTATACAATTCTCATTTCAATGTAGTGTAATAATTTCAAAACTGTTTAAATACTTTTCTATATCAGTGGCAGATTTGGGGGCAGAGGGGGTGCTAAGCCTGACTGCAACTCACATGTGGCAATACAACCAATCAAAGCAGTGATATAACCTCTATATTGTTTTTCTTTTTTATGCTCATCCAGAATAATTTTGATTGTGACTCGACCTCTCTCTCTCCCCCTCCCCTTCCCCTCCTTATACTGACACTTTCTGCAGTAAAAATCCTAGACCCATCCCTGAATGTGTAAATTACTGGAGTTATAAATAACCATTTCTCTTTAAGCATGTTTAGTTACTACAAATTTGTGAATACAACTTCCTTGAAATAAAACTAGACTTTTCTTAAGATAGATTAGATTTTCACGCATCTTTTACTTACAATAAATTTTGGGTGTGCAATCATAGCTGATTTCCACTAGTGATTTTCTAGAATTAACTGCATATGTTTCTTTTCCTTATCTATTCTTAATTTTGTATATATGTTCTCTTCCTTATAATTCAATTAATAATCCCTCAAAAATGCTGGGTGACAGCTCCAACAACCTGCTTCTCCTATGTCACACACTAATTGATCTCCTGATTAAGACCTCTTACTGAGCAATGGGTACTTATCTAAATCACAGAACTTCCTGATTTCTAGAGAATATCATTCAATACACACACACACACAAGCAAAAAATAGGTCTATACAGAAATCAGGCATATATAGACACCATTTATAAAGTTTATCACAACCTCAAAACAGCCTGAGGGTATTAAAGGAGCTCTTGTACACTAAACATTGCCTCAGTCAGTTTAAGTTCGGATGGTCTAAGACAACAGAGGAATGATTGATATCCTAAATAGCTCTCTGAAATACTAAATTACATGTATGAAGAAAAATGATATGAAGAATCTGTAAACTATCCTTCATATCTTATTGATTATTTTTTCCAAAGACCAGGCCTGAATGATATACAACTTTGTCAACCTAACTTTAATCCTGGCCTTTGATCAAGGGCTGAAAATACTGAGCACCATTACAATATATATTACAAGCTGAGCACTTCACATGCCTTCTTATGAAGCTATAACACTGAAAAATATAGCGAGTACTTCAGAGAAGTACTGTACCTTTAGGTATATACATAGCATGGTCACTAGCCTCGAGCTCTTTTATATTTTTCATATTTTTTCCTCTTTGCCATTGAAAGGGAAAATCGGAAGATCTTACTTCTTTTAAAAATAGAACAGGAAAAAGTTTGGAAAGCCAAGTAGATCTGCCTGCAATCAGTACTTGAGCAGATTGTAAATATCATTATGCCAAATATTCAAGTAAAATTTTAATCTGAATTATAGGCACTTATCAGGGTAATGTGTGCTGCAAACCTGTAGATATTCCAAATTGAAAATTAAATTTTTTTTAAGTCTTAAGGTCATATGCAAGGTACATGTACATGTACTTTACAACATACCTTACCCACTGATAAGCTTTCAAGATATTCTTAATTTAAAATCATAGTACCATCTGAAGTTCTTATAGTCAAAAAATTAGTATATATACATTTCCAAGGGTTTTGCATAGATATCAAAAGACAAATCATGAAAATCTTTGTGTTCTTCAAAGAAAAATTGGTATTTTCTCAAGAGGTGTAACGATACAACAATACATCAATCATATTGATTGCAAGGGCTCACGATATGCATATCATATTGCCATGTATGTATCGTGATACATATGTAGTACTGATACAGTACAAGATAATTTTCATTGCTTTGTTTGAAACTTCTACATACAACCTAACAAATTTTAATGTTTTAAAATGGCTAAAAAAAAAAAGCTAGCAAAGAAAAAATACAATGTCAAGACTATAAATCCACCTTTTGTTAACTTTGGTCAGGGGTATCAAGATATTCTTTTTTAATATATTTTTTATCACTGTGTAAGTTAGCAAAGAATAATATGTTAAAATAACGGTTAATTCAATTGTTGACAGCTGTATCATGATAAATGTTGTATCGCATGACCGTATCGTGATATGCATCGTATCGTTATAGGTAAGCTTACAATACTCAGGCCTTAAATTTTCTCATACTTTGATTCAGAAGTATACAGCATCATCAGGCATTATAAAAGTTGCACAAAGCTCCTTCAATTATTTGAACTCTTAAATTATATGGGGGATTAATAAATATTTAATAAAGTTAAAAATTACATTGCATATGTCCTTATTTTCTATTCCATACCCCCACTGAACCCAAATAAGCCACTGGTTTATGACTTAAGCCCCTTTTAAAAAGCAAAATTTTATTTCATTCAGAACACAAGAAGGTATGCATGTAAATTTTGACACAATTTTACCCCTCCAATAAAACACCCTGCTTCCTCTAAATGCTGCATTTACTGGGTTATATTACTTCAATCTATTTCTTCATCATATATATTTTGTAGCACCCACTATTACTGGTGATTATAAGCTGTTTTAGGACATTCCATTGATCATTGATGGAAGTATACAGGAAAACTATCTCTAAAATTGCATCATTAAAACTTAAGTCATGTGAGCTTTTCAACTCTGAGCTGAGGAACTAGAACTGGCTCAGTTGTAAATTTAATTTTTTGGAAGTTTACTTGTATTTGTATTTTGGAGTCCTCTAGCTAATTTTTGTCTATTTTTTTTATCTATGATATTGACATGAAGGAAACTTTGACCTGCATGTCCCTTCATTTCTGCCTAAATGAAGACTCTTAAATGAACAGACTTATTTCATATGACCTAGTTTTAAAAATTCTGTCAGTATACAGTCTTAAGAAAAGTGGCATCATCAGGTTACATTCATATATCACTTAGAAGATGTTAAGACAATTATCTACCATGTACACCAACTACTTGTACAGTTATGAATTATTCTTCAAGGAGAGAAAACTAAAACGAGTAACAGATAACTGAATTATCAGTGTCTGGCATCACTGTTAATTAAGACTTACATGTATACTTCCTCTTTTGCTATGGCACCTTAACAGAAATGTATACATACATGTGTCTGTGACAGATAGATGATTCAAATAATGCAACAAAACACAGGTAAATCTGTGTTTATTTAACATATTAAGTAAGTATCAACATCATGCATCAAACTGAAACTGACACTAATTTATTCATAGGAACAATGTCGCCACACCTGTCTCTCAAAACTTCATCTCAAAACTTGATCAAGTTTAAACATTATATTTGTCCTCTTTTAAATAACCGACATTTTCACACTATCACATAATCACGTTTAACTGAAGTATAATTTCAAAAATATGACATATTCGTCAGCTGGTCATGAGACAACAAATCGTAACTCGTTTGGCACTCGAAAGTGAAAGTAAAAGTTTAGTATACAGTCCAATCATATTAACAGTTTTTTAAAGCTATTATCAGCAAATATCACTCAAAATTATTATGTAAAAACATCCTTACCTGTTGTCAACAGAAGGGCGACTGAGATAATACCGGAATTCAGCTCATAATAATGTTATGATTGTGTTTTATGCTTCCTTGTTGCTTGTTGGGAAAACACAACGTGCCTTTTTGCTGACGAAGTTGAGCGCCCCCTATGGAGCTTAATCTTTCCAGACGACTCTTATGTAGTCTTATTGTTCAAGCAATCGCACTTTTCATCAGACTTTTCTCTGCCTCTGGAACATTTGAAATGAATAAAATATCGAATGGGTGGATATCGTGATTTTGATAAAGTCGTAAAATTCGCCCATTTTTCCCGCCAAACTGGCGGATCCAACATTTACAACCTCAGTGAAAGTTAACTGAATAGAGGAATGTTCGTTCATTCAGTTTTATTTATCGTAATCGTCTAAATCTACAGAAGCCCGCCTTATCTGACATGTACTTCGAGAAAATTTAAAAACACCCATGCTTTTTCATCCTGTTATATAAAAAAAAAAAAAGAGTGCGTTTAAAAAGCACGTGTACAAAATTATCTCTCCAAGCGATACCTCTTTAAATGGAGGGTAGTAAAGGAAAAATAAAATCAGAAAACAAGTGCACAATTATCCAAACTGATAGCAGGGGCTGAGTTTGAATATCAAATAGACAGCTTTTTCTGATCTTTTACTTAGATCAAGGCCAGGATAGGCCAGATTTGTGCAATAATTTTTAACTTCGTTTGAAATATGTGCGCACTCTGGAGCCACTAATTATGTCTTTTCTATATTATTTAATTGCAAGGAATTCACTAATCAGAATAATACCTAGTTAGTATATTAACTCCTCTTTGTAAACGGCGCAGAAACCTTTGAAACAGTGAATAGTAAAAATAAATCATATCCTTATTATCGTGTGCGTTATTTTGATCTCTAAATGTTATAAGGCCAATTCTCCGCTAGTTCAACTCATGCTATAATTATATTAAATAATATATTCTTTTTTATTGCTGGTATTCATTCTCAGGATGGATATGGCATGTCTTTTCAAATTCATCAGTACTGAAAATACGAAGTTTTTCCGTTAAAATTACGCCAGAAGCTCATGCTACTCATAAATTGTTTTGTTTAAAAACAAATGTTTTGTTTGCTTCTTCTGACCTCTTATAAACATATAAGAAAAATATTTCAAAATGGAAAGTTTGTGAAAGTATGACTTTAGGGTCATCGCCAGGCATCTGGGAAGGGAGAGCGGGTGGGGGCAGGGGTGCGATAAAAGGACGGGAAGAGGTACTCTTTGTCCTTTCTGATACACTCTATTTTAGCAAATAAAATACACAGTATGACTGTCTTAGATAGTCATGTTGTATATTTTATTTGCTAAAATACAGTCTATCAGGAAGGACATCTTCCCCTATAAGCCAGACTTTTTTTTATAATTAGGTACCATTTTGCCGGGTTCTGGTACATTTTTATATTATTGATATTTTAAATTTAAACAAAATAAACACAGCATTTATAAATGTGCTTTAAAATTTAACAGATGAAGACGTTATATTGTTTTAAAAATGATATTTTCGAGTCACTTTTTTAAGGGAGGTGCGATTGCACCTCCGATCCCTTTTTAAAGCTTTTGGCATGATACTTGTCACTCAGAAATATTTCAAGAAGAGAGTTTAATTTGGCGCTGCTTGAAGAGCATAGAAGGATGAAACGTGTCAGTTTCCCTAGTGAACATTAATCAAAGCTTAATTACATGTAGTTGTTTTTACATTACAGCTATATTCACTTACTCAGTATTTCTCTCAAACAGAAAGAAATTGAAAAAAAAAAACTATATTTTCTTATTCTAGCTGTATAGGGTATTCTAGGGTACTGTATGACTACAATTATAGCACTCCTCTTCGGTTTTAGTTCACGAAGATTCCAGCTTAGAATTTCAACGGAATCTTAAAAGAAATCACCTCCCGTCGAAACATATATTACATGTATAGGTGTATGTATGCAGATAATTGCACTACACGGCTTTTAATGCACTTTTTTATGCATACCTTTCATGTATTAGTCACTGTTGTATGAACCAGATATTAGTAAAATTAAAATGATCGATGTATCACACGGTGGGCGAATTTCGTGACTACTCTTATTTCAAGGATGTACATTTAACATCAAAACAAATTTTGGAAATACCAACAAATATACTTCTGGATTTATTCATGCAGCTTTAATCACATGGAATAATTAAATTCCCAATTTACTGTTTTGTATGTTTTTGCACTATGTAATCAGACAATCCCTCTATTCCGACACAAATTTTTGTCCCCCACTGCATATCAGATTAGACAGGTTTCACTGTACATGTAAAGTCTGATTCTTTCCATGGTATATTTGTAAATAAAATTTTAAAACTCGTAAATAGAGTCTATATCTGTTTGCTGTAAAATAAAACCTATATATTTTGGGATAGACAATGCTTAATTCTGTATGCTAAAATTTAACACGTGATATAAAATAAAACTATAATAGAAAGTTTATTGCTCAGTGTTTATCATTTGTATTTTCTTATGTTTCTTCGGCGAAAATAAAGTTATTCTGAGGAAGACGATGGAGTAGATATATTATATGCAAATATTACTTCAAAATGGATCTCTGTTCGCTGGGATGTGTGTTTGTGTGTGTGTGTGTGTGGGAGAGGGGGGGGGTGTTATTGTATTATTTAAAGTAAAGTAACATTTTATGGAGAGGGGCCCCCTCTTTTTAGTTACTCCCTGGAATGTTTTAAAAGTAGCTATTATGCTTTCAATTAAGATGTTTGAGAGGTATATTTATATACAACAGATCACTGCCATTTACATAATTAGGCTGAGTTTTAAAAAATATATACTGATACCTTACAGGTGATATTTGTTTCTTATTTTTAATGAGGACATTTTGATCTAACTCTATGGTAGAGTAGTCTATGGTGGTATATTTTTGCCACCACTTGTCAGATGAATATGTCGACTTGTCAAATCTTTATGTCGACTTGTCAAATCTTTATGTCGACTTGTCCGATAATAACCATCCCCAGTATCTTGTTATCCAAGCATGTTTAAGGCCACTAACTGAACTGAACTCTACTTGTCATCATTATATCTGACAAGTCGACATACGTGCCCAACAAGTAAACATAATTTTCAGACAGTTTTTAATGAGGAAATTTTGATCTAACTCTGGTAGAGTAGTCTATGGAGGTATATTTTTGCCACCACTTGTCAGATGAATATGTCGACTTGTCAAATCTTTATGTCGACTTGTCAAATCTTTATGTCGACTTGTCCGATAATAACCATATCCCCAGTATTTTGTTATCCAAGCATGTTAAAGGCCACTAACTGAACTCTACTTGTCATCATTATATCCGACATACGTGCCCAACAAGTAAACATAATTTTCAGACAGTTAATTAAATAAATAATTTCCTGACAAGTAAACATCTTTTTCTAAAAAGTCAACATCTGACAAGTTGACATAATTATCTATAAGTCGTAATTAATATCTGACAACACGATATAAATTCTGACAATTCGTCATAATTATCTTAAGTTGACACAGTTATATCTGAAGTCAACTTGTCGGATAATAATGTCGACTTTTCAGATAATTACGTCGACTTGTCACTTGCATGAAAGATAATTATGTCGACTTGTCACTTGCATGACAGATAATTATGACGACTTGCTAGAAATTGATGCCAAATTGTCAGATGATTATAATGACTTGTCAGATCGATCCTTATGTCGACTTGCCAGAAATGGATGGCAAAAACTATCCTATATACCGTCAGCCTACGACACTTTCTCATTATGAATTTTTAAACAGGTAAATTGGTGACAAGTCAACAAAGAGATCTGACAAGTCGACATAATTATCTGACAAGTCCACAATATCATCTGACATATGCCACCATAGCAGTCGAACTTTCTGTAAGATTTCAGTCTCTTTTTTTATGCACGTTTAAATATTAAAAGCTATAACAAACTGTTTCTGTTTTTCATGTAACTGTGTTCATTATCAAATACATAAGTGCATAAAGATACTGCATACTTTAATTCTTTCTCAACCTTCTTCCGGATAAACATCCTTCTTTGTGTTGCCTGAAATCTACATATAGTAGTAAATCAGTACGTGTCATCCTCGCTACATAGGAAAGTATCATCTAACCTGACACAAGGATCCCAAAAGATGATACAGTGAAAACTGTCTGATCCGACACCTTTACAAACCGTTTCACTGTGAATTCCGACCCTTATTTAAATTCCACGTTTACTGTTTTTTATGTTCTTTACACTGTGTAATCAGACACTCTATCTATTCCGACACAATTTTTGACTCCCATTGCATGTCAGATTAGACATGTTTTACTGTACTACAAAGTCACATGGTTTGAAGACATTCCTGTAACATATATAACATGCACATGTATATTCAAATAGATCTCAAACAATTAGTCCATGAAATTACCACACACTTATTAACGCCTCTGTTTAATGAACAAACTGACCAATTTACTCTATGAAATTATTCATTTTTTCAAGAAGGAGAATAAGACATACTGGTTGCAGTTCCAAGAACAGAGTGGTTAAAACTAAATTTTTCATATTTATAGCAGAAGCAGGACCATAGAAACCAAGAGGGACATGGGTTGTCGTGCCCCCCCCCCCATTTTGCCAATATATACATGTACTATACAAATAATTAATATAAAAGAAAGCTAATTTACGATTATGGCCCATGCATTGATAATTAGCAAATTATAACCCCTTACTTTTGCTTGTCTATAAATTTGGTTGTCCCCGTAAAAAAAATATTATCACGGGGGTACAAGCAAATAAAAGCTATACTTTTATGTTTTCTATAGTGTTCTAAATATCGGCAAAATTATGGGGGCACGCCCCCGTGCCCCCCCCCCCCCGGTTCCTACGGCCATGAATGTAGTAACCAGTATATATATATATATTTTTTCAGAATGTAGGATTTCCAATATGCCCTTGAAGTTTTTCTTTGATTGTTTGATATTATCTTTGTCTTGTTTATTTTTTTGTTATTGTTCTTAGATTTTTTGCTTTTGTCGCCAAATTGGGACCCACTTTTAATTTTCTGACTTTGCTACTGCGTTTAAA